GATATATACATATAGGAAAACACTATATAGAAAAGGAAAACTACAGTATAAAATATATAAGTTAGTAAGATTTTTTTTATGTTTTTGAAAGTCTCTTATGCTTACCAAGGCTGCATTTATTTGCTCAAAAATACAAAAAAAGTAATAATGTGATAAAAACTAATATTGTGAAATATTAATTCAATTTTTTTTTTTTACTTTTTTTGGTTGCAATATATTTTAAAATGTAATTTATTTAAAATGTTAAAATGTAATTTATTTTAAAAAATCATTCTAATTTGATGATTTGTTGCTTAAGAAACATTTCCTATTACAATTCATGTTAAAAGGTTGTGCATTTTAACATTATACATATCTTTACTGTCTCTGTGACCAATTTAATGAGCCCTTGCTGAATAAAAGTATTAATTTCTTTTGACACCAAACTTTAGAACAGTATAATATATATCTCAGTGGATAAATTGCTACAGATTCTGTCTTGACTGGCTTATGGTCTAACTGTTGCACACCAAATACAGCTAATATGCAAATATGAAGTGCAGGGAACCAATAACATAGAGACATGTCAGAACAAGCATTCCAACACTAACCTTTCCTTGAGATTTAAAATGTGACACCCTCTTCTTCTGGCCAGGAAAGAGAGTAGTTAAAGTGCTTTCTGTTTCTTCCTCCTCCCCCTCCTCCAGTTCCGTTGAAGGCTAAAAACACACATGAAAGTGAAACTGAAATTTCAGTTGCAACAGAAAACCCAGAAAATCCACCAACAGAAAAAAAAATTGCATAGCATCCTCAAAACCCCATAAAGGCATTTTAGAGCAACCAAAATGACTGAAGTGATTATCAAATCTAGAGAAATAAATAAAAACTCTGTGTGGTACCTGCTTAGCTTGTCTCCCTTTGTCTTCCATCTTCACCTCTTTGGATTCGTTAAATATCCGCAGACACTCCTCCATCGGGTCCGAGTCATACTCCATCTCATCCTGCAGACAGGAGTAGTCCACTGCTTCACCACCATCATCATCATCATCATCATCATCATCCACTTCAAAATTATCTTCCGATGATGATGTATCTTCAGAAGTTTTTCTTTTATTATTCATGATGCTTCCCTGTTTAAAGGCAGAGGCCGACTTCCTCACTATCCTCTCGTCTTCCTCATCATCCTCTTCAGCACTCTCAGCACCGAACAAGTCTATGTGGCTCAGATTCCTCTGTTTGGTCTCACTTGCCTCTTTGTGATCAAGGACTAAGCTCTTTTTTTTGCTTTTATCTTTAGTGCTGTTGCTGCTGCTCCCATGGCTGCTTTTCTTTTTGCCCTTTTCCTTTGTGCTGCTCTCAAGTTTTCCGTTCATCTGGTCTTTGAATTTGGACGGCACCTTATCGGTTTTAACAGGCTTGTCCATTTTGGGCTTCTTGATGTTGCCACTCCCTCTATCTTTTTCCTTGTGGCCATGTTCACTCTTTATCTTAACCATCTTCTTGTTCTTTTCATCAGTACTTTTTGACTCAGATCCGTCTTTCCGCACCTTTTCCTTGGACTTACTGATTCTGTCCTCATTCTTACTTTGGTTCTTGTCTTTTTTACTTGAACTTTCCCGCCTTTCTTTTTGACTTTTCTTACTGGGTTCCTTCTCCTCTTTTTTCAGTTTATCAGATTTTATATTTTTCGACTGACTCACAGGCGTCTTTTTGTCTATCTTTTTGTTTGTCCTGTCCACATCATCCGATCCGCTCTGTGAGTAAACCTCATCAGTTTTAGACACCCGATTTACTTGCTGTCCCATCGCACCTGACTCTCGTTCCTTTTTCAAGCTGATGTTGATCCCCTTGCGCTGCATTCGACTAATGGATGTTGGACGATACTCTGTCCCGGAACTTTCCTCATCGGATTCAGAGAAACTTGCGGTGTACTTCGGGACATCTGCTTTAGGAGACAATGACCTTGGTTTCTTTGCCGTTGGAACATATTCCTCAACTTCCCCTTGTTTTTCAGGGTAAACCCTCTTTCTTTCAGCCAGCTTAGCCGAATAGTTCGAGAGAGGGTCATACTCCATGTTCGTGGTTGGTTTGGAATTATCCAGAGTGTATTTACACTTTACACGGGATGGTGGCGGAGGTAACACCTTTTTAATGCTTGTTTTGGAGACAGCAGTGGGAACATATTCCAGTGCATTGGTACTGCTGTTGTCTGAGTCTAAAGTGTATTTGCTGGAGCGAGGGGACGGGGTGTATTCACTCGCTTGGCCCATTTGATAGCTCCCAGGATCGTAGCCCTGATGGGATGATGCAGTGGGTTTCGGTCTCTTAACAGAGTTTGTGGTCGGCTCATATTCCTGATCGCCGATCTGAGAAAGCTTCTTCTTGTCCCTTTCCATCTCATTGCGAACAGCCTCAATGGCCTGATTGACCAACTCCAGCTCCACAGTACCCAGGTCCACATCCTGTCCCGCCAACAGGCTCGACGGTGGCTCCACATTATAATGTTCACCTGGTCTTACAACCTCTGGACTGAATGGATCACATCCTTGATCTGTAAACAAGTCACAAAAATCAACCACAGAATCAAAACAGTATATAATGCATCCTATATATACACATGCAGTTAATTGCAGAAATAATTTCATAAAACAAAAACAAACATTTCCCAGTTACTACCTATTCTTGAGGCATCAAAGGTTTTTCTGACAACAGTAAAAGCTATAGAAACGGTTTATTTTTAATACATAAATTGGACTGTCTGACATATGACAGCACTATTCTGGGGTTTTGTGTATTTTGTGCATTTAAATGTACATGAACCCGAACAGTACTTGAACAAAAGGAAAACATGACACCATAAAAACATTTTAATTCACCGTTTGGACTCGCAGAAAGCGCTTTAGTCTTTTTGATGTCGTATATCCCAGAGAAGGCTCGTCTTTGTTTGCTGTGTCTGAAGTGACAGTAGGGTCTGCTGCACCCATCTGCACCGGCTTTTCCACTGTTATTCTCAGAATAAAACGGACAGTCAATCCCACGGAAAAACCCCGTAGACCTCAACATCGCGGTTCATAACCAGTGTCACTTTGTATGCCTTTTAACTGGTATGTTTTTGCCACTTCATGCGTAGTTATTTGCATATCCGTAGTTGCCACTTTCTTACGGACAACAACAGACTTCCTAAGACGCCATATTTTATGAGCGACAGACGAGCCCAAGGCCCCCAGCGCACGTCGCGCTCTCTACGTAATATAGTTGACCGAATCATCCGCCTGTAAGAATTAGCGTGCTATCTGCACCGCGCTTGTGCAATCGAACAGCTGCTTTATTTGACAGTAGTTTATCTTAAAACATGTTAATACGTTGCTTTAGGCTTTATTTTCAAGCCTTTGGCATCTCTCTTTTTTTAACATGAATTATCTGAGTTTCTTTGTGATTTAAGTTGAAGGTTTATAACCGTGGCGGAGTATCAATGTGACTTTAGAGGTCAAGCGAGTGTAAAAGAGTGCACACATTGAGAAGTGTTCATAACAACTGGCACGACACATAACATGCTTTATTTTAGAAATCGAAAACAGCATTCAATTTATTCATTCCCGGTGGAGCTTCTGGCTGCAGCAAGCTGAGCGAGGGAAAAGGGAACTGGGGGTTTACAAAGTTTACAAATTACAGTTGTTAGCAATTTAAGTGAAACACTCACCTTATACATACAAATACACATGTGCAAGTGAGCCCAGTAACAAAAGCAATTTGTTCAGTGTGACCATAAACACCCCTCATTCAGATACTAGCAAATACAGAAGTGAAACTCTAAACCTACTTGCAATGCTTTTGATCTGACTTTTATAAAGGTGTGCACACCTGAATGCAATCTCAACTTTTAATTAGCAGGACATCTTAGCCCAGGGGTGCCCAAACAAGGTCCTGGAGGGCCGGTGTCCTGCAGAGTTTAGCTCCAACTTGCCTCAACACACCTGCCTTCAAGTTTCTAGTATGCCTAGTAAGAGCTTGATTAGCTGCTTCAGGTGTGTTTGATTGGGGTTGGAGCTAAACTCTTCAGGACACTGGCCCTCCAGGACCGAGTTTGGACAGCCCTGTCTTAGCCTATTAGAAACAGGGTGTAATATCAATTCAGTTGAAATCCTGATTTATCACTGGCAAATTACCCAAATTTGAAAACATCTTAAGTAACAGGTCAATTACCACTAAACAGTCTCCAGTATCCAATGAGAGAGCATTGGTCATCAGGGAAAGAGAGTGCTCACTGCTCATCTAACAGTAGAGGGAGGCATACCATAGCAAGAAGTATGAAGAGGTATGAACCTGTTATCAAAGTGCAAACCATGAGAGCCTTAATTTTGGTTATTTTTATAATAATAATAATTCCACATCAAACATTTAATCTAAAATCTTGATATAGAAAATTATTTTATTTCAGTTATTTTTCAAATATCCATTCTAGTACTTTTATAAATATGCTATAAGTTCTGCTAATATCAATAATGTTAATATATACAAGCAAAATTATAATGGCCCTCAATTTATGCACGCTCACACTTGTGAATCTGAGGACACACAGCAGTGTGATCCAAACAGTTTGTGGACTCCCTCCCTCTGTATTTCCATGTCCAACCCACACTTTTCCAGTGGGCTGCTATGCTGCTTAGATCTTCATGGCAGCCGTGGGCTGGCTAACTTTTAGTGTTTGCACCAGACTCTGTAATGTAGTCAGCCCTGGAAAGTTCAAGTGAAAAATCAGCACTTCTCTAGTACAGCTCTAGCCTGTTGACTTAGTAAGGTGATGCGCCATGTGACTCATGCTCAGGTGACAGCGACATGTGTGATTATGTCAACAGGATGAGTCACTTTTGAGAACCTGTTCTAAGAGATTGATCTTTATTAGAAGTGTCATGTTTGCAGTATCAGCATGTGATATGAGGCTTGTGATTCTGTGTGAACACAGGCAGAGGTTGAGATTGATAAAGTTCAACTTTACAGAAACACTGAAGACAAAACAAGAACACTGTTCAAAGCATTTTATTGCATTTTTGTTGGTTTGTTTTGTACAAAACGATACAAAATTCTGTCACAACAGTCATAAATTTAGCTTCGTGTGAACTGCAGTCAGCCACATTGTACAGTAAAGTGCTTTTTATTAAATCAATACCTGTTGCCCTAAATGTGACCCCATTTTAGATTTCCCCCCAATTATTATTTTGGACAAAGTTTGGAATTTGGAAATGGACAAACAGTGCTCTTAATAAGTGTTGCTGACAACACCCCCAAAACAATAGCCTTCGGACTAAAGGGTCACATTAGATATATTTTTAAAAAAAAGTTTAAATTGTGCACCTGAATACTATTATCAGTATACTATTGAATATTATTATCCCAATAATCTTTGAGTTGGGGAAAAGAAAACAAAGAAACTTCATATGATAATTTACACTTGTTTGTAATGGCTAATATTGGGCTGAACATTGAATGAGAACTTTCTACACCCCCTAAAAAAAATCATTTTTGAAAATCCAAGACAGATCTGTTAATAGAAGGCAACCCATAACTATAATATGGGTAAAAGAGTGGTGAATCTTTTGTCAGAGGCACAGGGACTTTAGAGGACCAGCCAAGCGCCACAGACTCCTCAGAAAATACAAACCCAAAACACTTGGGATTTCTGCAATATACCAAAGCCAAGGAGAAAGATAAAATACTGAACTGAAGTGGTGGAAATGGTACTTTCCAGACCAAAGATTGCTTTAAATCTCAGCTTATGAACATTTTTGTTTGCCATTTATACATTGTAGCAAAATAAGTTTCCTGAACAAAACATGAGGAAACTTCTGCACATACAATTCAAGTCTTACTATAAGACATAAAAAACCCACAAAGATGCATCTGTAAAAAGATTCTTAAAAGAAAGAAAGAAAGACGAAAAAAAAACAATAAAGGTTACAATCAGTGTCATAATAATCAGCACAATGGGCCCTTCCAAATCAAGGACTGCCATTAGGGTTCTCAAAGCATCTCAGAGCAACACGATAGAACGGGCGACACTCTGAAAACATTCAACGTATGCTTGGGTGATTTGAACTCCCATTGGTGACACTAATGCTTGCAGAATTTATAAACACTCAATATGAATCCAGACGTCTGGACTCAAATGTTTTATGCACCTCGGAGAGTGAATGATGGTCTGTGCTCAGCTCTACCAGGTACGCGGTGTCTTATGAATTGGCATAGGAAAGGCTAAAGCTGATTCAAGATCAGCACTACCAGATACCTCAGTGCATTCGATTTTAGAAACGAGCGCACTTTGGCTAAAATTGATGCGTCTTACTAAAACGATCAAGCCACCAATAATTTCTGAGAGAAAAGGGGAGTTTAAACAACCCTGAAGTCATTTCCAAAGCAAGAACAAAAACAGTAAAATCATCAGATCTGAACAGACTATATGACGCCCTTTCTTTTTTCCTTCCTTTCTCCCCCTAACTCCAGTCACATTCGCATACACTCTTCTCACTCTTTACAGCATATAAATCAACATTAATAAAGTAACAAAACTATAAAAAAGGAAAACGTTCCACTTGAACAGCACCTACATAAAAATTATATTCTTTCAATAAAAAGTTAAACAAAGCTCAACAACGTTTGAAATATCAGTGTGGCACACTCTGCACTGGAGTCAACCATTAACGTATAAAAAAAATAAAATAAACTTTCTTAGACCATTTCACTCATACGGCTACATTTTCTTGGAAGACTTTTTTTGTTTAGTTTTTGTTTTTAAATATTTTTTTTCTGGAATATTTTTTTTTGTTTTCTTTTTTTTGTAGTTTTATGTTACTTGAAAATAATCTCTCCCTCCCCTCTTAATATTTATATAGTTTGCTTTTTGGTGGCATCCACAATCTGACAAATTGATATTTCTGTACCATAATGGCCCCCTTAAAGTGGGGTACAAGCTCAAAGCCTCAACTCTCTGATACCGACCATCGTCATTCATGTGGTCACACTGGCAAATGTGTGCTTGTGCAACCACCTGGTTGCTTCCCAGCATACACTCAATTCCAGTTGTGTTCGGAAATGTTTATAGTCACTCTTATCGGTTATTGATAAGATTTTAGTGAAATTTACAGGAAACGTTAGAGTTTCCCAGACATCGGTTTGGATGCATCTGATGCTGCAATTCCAATTGGAGTCTTGCAAGGCGAAAACCTCACATACACCCTAAATCAAATGCATTTATCGGTTCCTCAACTAGGGGAACCCATGTCTTGAAAGCAGACTGCTGGGATAATCTAGCTATAAGGACACACTCTGGAAGTGCTTGAATAACAGAAAAAACTAGTTATTCCTAATGGTCAGTCAGGGGATTTTCTTGTTGCAATTAAAAGGCTGTGGGGGAAGGACAGCGATGCATTAAATTAGGCGAGGCACTATTATCAGAGCTTCGCTCCACTTATACAAGATCTCTGCTAAAGTAATGCAAGTCATAATAGCCTTCATCAGGGTTGCATAAGCACATACCAGTATCTTCTGAAGGGGAGAGGGATATATGCGCGCACACACACACACACACACACACACACACACACACACACACATACAGGAAGAACATTCCTGAAAAACAAATGCAGTTGTATCTCTCACAGAGAAAATTCACAGTGGATCCAGTTGTAACATGGAAGCAGCACAAAAAGAAGGGGGTGGGAGGTATTAGACCTTTGGTGTCGGAGCTGGTATTTTACGCTCTACCTTTAGACAAATTTCCAAATGGCTTGTGTAACCCAATCTCTATCCTAAACGGAGTCCAGTTCATTCGCCTTGAGCTCGCAAGGTAATTGCCATGCTGTCGAGTTGATCAAAGTGCTGTAGGAGCTCTTGCTCCAGTGCTTAAGGGAGCAAAACTGGATTTGCAACAGGCACAAACTGAACCATCATTTAGGAAAGGGCTGGGTCCCATTCAAGTGGGCAGAAGAAATGGAGAGGGATTTGCACTAAAGGTAGCAGATACTTTGTCCATTTGAAATTGGAAAATTGTTCACGGGGAGCCCAGCTCAACAGATCAAGCACAGTCTCCCACAATGACCAGCGGTGCCAGGAGCTGCCTGAGCTCAGAGGCAGACACGGGCGCTCCTTTCAGCAGGCTACTCCTCTGTCTGCGCTTGGCAAGTTTGGAGTTGGAGGGAGGGGAGAGACGCATGGACGTGGCACTGGCTGTGACGACCTGAGGAGAGTCCTGCAGCTGCTGTTCTTCCAGGTCGTCTTGCTCAGCTAGTTGCCGGTTCATGGCAACAGCCTTGCCCGCAAAGAACGTCAGGTCCTTAGTGCTGCTGTTCCTGTGAGCATGGAAGGAAGGGCAAGGTTAGCTTGATGAGGATTTTACAAGCTGCATGTACTAGCAGAAAAGCTAGTACCAACTCAACTCACCTTTGTGGCAGGATAGAGGAAGGGAGACAGTCAAAGGCACCCTGGAGAAAGAAAGAAGACAGTAAAAAAAATCATGAAGATACAGTCTAAGGTTACTAAAATTACACTTAGAAGTTTGCTGTAGTGAACACAATGAAACATTCGGTTCCTTACCCCTTGTACCCAGGGGTGCTGGAGAACCTGAGCAGCGCTAAGACGTTTCTTGGCGTCCCGCACAAGCAGTTTGGAAATGAGGTCTTTGGCACTGGAGGAAATATGAGCCCACTCTTTCTCTGGAAACTCATACTTGCCCTCCTGGATGCTTTCAAACAAGGTGTTCTGGGGGGGGGACGACGACATATAAAGAGAGAATTCATATAAAGTATAAATGATACTTTTGACGTAGGTTTACAACAGTGCACAGTGGTTGAATAGACTAGGGTGTGTGATGTACCTGACACGCTTGACAAGGTTCTCCATTCTCCCATCCACAGTCGCTTCCACAGCAGCCCACGAAGGGAGGGTAACCGCTCAGCATGATGTAGAGGATGACACCCAGGCTCCACAGGTCACAGCGCTTATCGTAGATGGTCGCCTCCTCATTGAAGGCTTCCACAACTTCCGGCGCCATGTATTCAGCAGATCCACACTAAGGTGAGAGCAAGAAGGGGTGAGAAGAAAGTAATCATTAGCACATGGGTCGTTTCAGTCTAAAGGCAAAAATACTGAAATGGCAGTCACATCGGCTATGCAATGTGGCAAGCATACACAGAACTAAGAAATTTTTTTTTTAATTTGTGTTGGTTATGTACAGCTGCATTTAAATTTCTACATCCCCCCCCCCTCACTGTAGACGTCCTTGTTCACATTCAGCTGACAAAATGTCATGTGTTCTGTGAGACCCCTAAGCACGTCTGAAACCGAAAGCGTGAGAATCACATGGTAAACAGCAGATCTCGCCAAGTTGGAGTGGAGGGGGGAAGGGGGGTTGATGACAGATTTTCTAGTTGAATGCTAAAGTATTCATCCCTGGTTCTTGCTTATGAAACGCATTTCTGCCGCAGTCCAGATAGAAAATGCAACGGTGGCATACAGATCCTTAATTGAAGTAACCAGGGTAACGACTGTTATGTCACAGATGGAGGCGGGGAAGTGAGTCATGGAGTGTTTTGAGGGCTCAGCTGTAAGTGCAGACTGCTTTGTTGGTTCGGGCTCCAACCACCTCTGCCTAAAACTAGGTTGTGCATTGGGACAGGGAAAAAAAGAAAAAAAAGGATTGTGCTTTTCTAGTTGAATGCTAAAGTATTCATCCCTGGTTCTTGCTTATGAAACGCATTTCTGCCGCAGTCCAGATAGAAAATGCAACGGTGGCATACAGATCCTTAATTGAAGTAACCAGGGTAACGACTGTTATGTCACAGATGGAGGCGGGGAAGTGAGTCATGGAGTGTTTTGAGGGCTCAGCTGTAAGTGCAGACTGCTTTGTTGGTTCGGGCTCCAACCACCTCTGCCTAAAACTAGGTTGTGCATTGGGACAGGGAAAAAAGAAAAAAAAAGAAAAAAGGATTGTGCGTCTCCAAAAACCCACATACCATTCTTTATTACATAACAGCAACACACACTCAGTTTGCAACAACATCACCACACGTACCCACACATCTTTGATGTAAAAGGATAAAACCTCTCTGAAGTAACAGTTCAGTAGTTCAGCAGGACAAAAAACCCTTCTGGAAGGATCTGCAGAACTGGGTTCCTTTTAGTTTTCCTCAACAGGCTAGGCCATCTTGCTGCATTAAGCCCCTATAATTATGCGACTCAGACTGAGGTCCGTGTTACAAAATAACTTGCTTTAGCGTTTTTTTCCCAAGAGATTACAAATGCCAGAACTTGCCTGAATTTGTATACTTCAGTTCTGACGCATCAAGGCCAATTTCTGAACCCTACATGACGTAAAAGTATAATAATTTGCCCATACAACAACAACTTACAATAAAATACACTCGTAAATACGTTATCACACGAGGTTGAAGTTCAAAAGTTGGCATAAACCAATAATGCTGCAAATCCAACCCCCCTCTGTATATTTTCACAGGTGTTCAAGTGCAACATGGTCATGTTTTGGTTCGTGTCTCTGAGGTTAAAGGAAGCGGTCGGTCTGCTCTGCTAGTCTCTTTTGTTATCCTCAACCCAGCTGCCGTTGTTGCTCCGCCTTCTTGCACTTATGTAATGGTATTTCGCAGTGCAGGAATCCGAGTGCAGACAAAAGCTTCCACTGTTGCACCCAACCCCCATCGACAAGGCTGTTTTGGCTCACCGCCTCTCAACACCCTCACATTCAAGAGAACACTTCACAACCACCCCCACTCCTGAACAAAAGACTTTCAGAAAGAACAACCAATCCAGATCTACATATACATTGCTACAGTATGTAACTAGTCAGTTGTGTACCCAACTGTATCCAATTTCTAGAAACCAGGGAAACAGAGCGACCTGTAATTAGCAAATGAGGGCTCATGTTCTGCAGCAGTTTCCACGTGTTTCATAAAACCCAAGTATATTCCTCTGGCTCGCTTGTGAGCCTATCTCGGTGTCTTTGAGGTAAGAGGGAGAGGGTCTCGAATGATAACTGCGCAGCCGATTTTCACTTTCAAGACAAACGTGTAACTAGTCAGTTGTGTACCCAACTGTATCCAATTTCTAGAAACCAGGGAAACAGAGCGACCTGTAATTAGTAAATGAGGGCTCATGTTCTGCAGCAGTTTCCACGTGTTTCATAAAACCCAAGTATATTCCTCTGGCTCGCTTGTGAGCCTATCTCGGTGTCTTTGAGGTAAGAGGGAGAGGGTCTCGAATGATAACTGCGCAGCCGATTTTCACTTTCAAGACAAACTTCAGCTGTAAGACTAGCACAGCATTGCATCAGTCACTTGCAGCTACTAGCATCTAACACATGCAGACTACATATGGGGCTTTCCAAGGAAGGACAAACTGGCTTGAGCAGTCGCGCGGTCGGTTCATGTGTTTTTGTGGTTGGCAGTAAGGCATGCATCAGCAGAGCGAGCGAGTCACCTATACATGTTTGAATTTCCACTGCGGTTATAGGTTAACACACAGTATAAAAGTACATGCAGTGCAAGATCGTCAAGAGAAAGGAAGAGGGAGAGTTCAGGAAGTAAAGTACATGCACTTCTCAGAAATTGCGACTTTTTTTGAAGCCTTTATGATTTGATCACATTACACACGCACACAAAAAGCCTGCTGTAACTATAAAAAGAAAATAATTTTAAAAAGGGAAAATCTTATAAGAAGCAAAGCAATCAAGTGATAAACAAAGAGTTAACATCAAGCTAGCGGTGTAAAAACCCCCCTGATAAGATCCCTGGGATCCTGCCCAAGAAAAACATGTCGAGTGCATGACCAGAGAGTGCACTAGATGCTCCTCCCCCTTTCATCCTCCCTCTCACCAAACCAATCACAGAACAGTTGCTAGGTGTGGGGTGGTAACACTGACTGAAAGACTAATGCCCAGACAGGCTTGAGGAAATCCGCAGAGACAAAAACAAATGAGAAATTGAGTCTAAACTGTGCTTAAGGGAGAAGGTACGACAGGAAATTGGAGCACAAAGACCAGAAACGTTTGTTTGGGTTGAAGTCTTGTCCTCCTCATGCTGTCCAGAAGTAGCAAGGGGGAATTGAGAATTTGGAACTATATAAACACTGGCTCAAAGTTAAAAAAATAAAAATCACAATGAACTTTCTGATCAATATTCCATCCTTTCCTGATGAATGGAGTTGTGTTTCTGGAACTCTGAATAAGGGCATGCTTCTTGGAAAAAATGAAAGCAGCCAAGAACTGAGCTTCCTACTTCAAGGTCTGTCTCACTGCGCAACTAAGACTGAATTGTAAAAGTTTCACCCAAAAAATAAAAACTTCATGTTGTTCAAAACCTGTATGACTTCTTTTCACCTACACAAAAGTAGTATTTTGAAGATATATTTTAAAGAATGATTTAACGGTTTTAACTTTCAAAAACAACACTTACATTATATGGACAAAATGAACACAGGCAGGCTTTGTTCAAAATAACATCTTTTGTGTTTTGCAGAAGAAAGTTCTACAGGTTTGAAATGACATGGGCTTGAGAAAATGACAGAATTTTCTATCCCTTTAAATACATGCAATGCATTAAATCAAACCCTCTCCCCTACTGCAGAATCACACGAGATAACTTGCCCATCAGCAAGCACAGGGCATAAAGACAAACCCCACATTGTTTACTGACTAGATACACTACAACCTTTCACCCTTTAACCATTCAGTCCACAAATAGTCTTTTCAACAAGCTGTTGGATCCAACTCCGGTTGACCCTGAAAGCCCTATGCTGAGGATTTCTCACTGTCCACACCCGCCATATCACCTGTTCTCGCCTGTCTTGCCCCAAATCATTCAAAGCCATGAAGCTGAAGACAGATCTTTGTTTACACACACACACACACACAGCAGAGATAAACTCAAGCGCTTAAAATAATAAACCCCATTTCAAATATTTTGAAAGAAACAGGAACTGGGTATAATTTTTAAGATTGTAAGCCAAAAGTTATCCACAAGTTTGTGAAGTTGATAACTACACGGATGTAGAGAATGGGCTCAATACTGCTGCTCCACTATCTCACAACAGAGTTTGGCCTCTTTAAAAGTTCCACTGTGGTAATAAAACCATTCCTTGACCTCATCACTGTCTTTAGAATGATTACATTAGCCAATCAGAATGAGCTACTCTACTGACTAGGGCTGTGCGATAGTGAAGAAAAATGCGATATGCAATAACTCATTAAATAATGCGATATTCGATATGCGATACGATAATGCTTAAAGTGCCACAAGCTCAGATGAAACCGTTTTACTCAGCTGTTGCGGAGTCAGTTCTGTGAACTTCTATAACTATCTTGTGTCATATACATATGGTTATTTGTATGTATGTATGTACCAAGAGTTCCTGTAAAACCACAACAAATTCCTTGTGTTTGCGCACACGTAAGTGGCGAATAAAGCTTATTCTGATTCTGATTCCAAGAAAGCACCCCTACAACAACTTCTGAAAGTGAACGATGTGTGTTTTACTCGAGCATTACATAAAAATGTAATTTTAACATTAGTGTAATCATTTTAACATGAGTTTAGGAACTGAATAATAAAAAGGAAAAATAAAACACTGCTTAGTATTTCCTCTTTGAATTCAATATGCACTGATTCTTATTTAAACTACAAAAGTTATTTAGGTAAGAGCAATGAGTGATTTTCTCTGTCTTTTGTTCATGACCCCAAATATTGCAAGCTATAGCGATACACATATTGTGATATGTACATTTGCAATATTTAGATAATTTTGATATATTGCACAGCCCTACTACTGACACTACTCAACATCGACCAGTCGCATTAAAGCATGTCCTCCTGATAAGTAACGACATTGACAATGTGCACATCTTATCCATAGACTTCAAAACAACAGGGAGGTGGCCGTTAGCAGCTTATCATGTTTGTTTCTCAGACAAATGCAATTCATTGTTTGGGTGAATCTGTGGTCAAAGGTTCACAAAGACACTCACTGGAGTGAGGAGCTCTGGAGTGGAGATGGGTGAACTGTCACTATTGAGTTTAATTCCACTGCCCAGATCAAAATCACAAATCTTCACAGGCGAAATCTGCAAGAAACACATCAACAGAAAATCTGATCAAAAACCTTTGACTATCCACAACCGACAGGCTTGATTGAGTGTTTATAGTCTGCCTGGAAACCTCAAATAATCTGATCAAAATTTTACCACAAATGCAAAGTATATTCTGAATCTCTGACTCGGCAAACATGCTGTCATAACCTGATAAGTAACGACATTGACAATGTGCACATCTTATCCATAGACTTCAAAACAACAGGGAGGTGGCCGTTAGCAGCTTATCATGTTTGTTTCTCAGACAAATGCAATTCATTGTTTGGGTGAATCTGTGGTCAAAGGTTCACAAAGACACTCACTGGAGTGAGGAGCTCTGGAGTGGAGATGGGTGAACTGTCACTATTGAGTTTAATTCCACTGCCCAGATCAAAATCACAAATCTTCACAGGCGAAATCTGCAAGAAACACATCGACAGAAAATCTGATCAAAAACCTTTGACTATCCACAACCGACAGGCTTGATTGAGTGTTTATAGTCTGCCTGGAAACCTCAAATAATCTGATCAAAATTTTACCACAAATGCAAAGTATATTCTGAATCTCTGACTCGGCAAACATGCTGTCATAAAAGACTCACCCTGTCCTCGTGTTCACACAAGATGTTTTCAGGCTTCAGGTCTCTGTGAGCCATTCCTACAAAAGCACACACACAAGTCATGAGTTAGTTATGTGGTATTCAGGCTAAGTGAGGATTGTTGACGGGGCAAAGATAGGCCAATGTTTCCAAAACAGCTTGTTGCTAAGTGCTACTAAAATTAGCTTAGCATCCCCACACACAACAGTACTGACAGGAATAAAACTTAAGCCCACAACTTGACCTAGAAATCCAGTGCGCATCCCTCAAGCTAGTCGATGAAATCTGATCAAGTTTCAACTTGATTCAATTTCCAACAACCCCCATAACCTCCCCTTCCCCAACTGTCTCCAGAGAAAGCCATCCCCCATGTGTAACACCATCTTCTTATCTTCCCTTTCCAGTCCTAAAGCACCTCTCCAAGTCGGTGTTCTCATACCTTTATTGTGAAGGAAGTCCAGCGCACTCGCAATGTCCTGCACCACAATGCTGGCTTCCTGCTCGCTGAAGTATCTCCTCTTGTGAATGTGGGCCAAGACAGAACCTAAAAAAACACATTGTTATAAATTAACACAGGGCATGCGATCTATACATTCCAGTGGAGAGGGTCTCAACTTAATTACTCATGGCTGGTCTTTGGGCCCAGGGGAGACTGGGTAATGTTTCACAAAAGTAACATAACTCTACAGAAGCACACGTACCTCCTCTCAGCTTCTCAAACACAAACCTAGAAATCCAGTGCGCATCCCTCAAGCTAGTCGATGAAATCTGATCAAGTTTCAACTTGATTCAATTTCCAACAACCCCCATAACCTCCCCTTCCCCAACTGTCTCCAGAGAAAGCCATCCCCCATGTGTAACACCATCTTCTTATCTTCCCTTTCCAGTCCTAAAGCACCTCTCCAAGTCGGTGTTCTCATACCTTTATTGTGAAGGAAGTCCAGCGCACTCGCAATGTCCTGCACCACAATGCTGGCTTCCTGCTCGCTGAAGTATCTCCTCTTGTGAATGTGGGCCAAGACAGAACCTAAAAAAACACATTGTTACAAATTAACACAGGGCATGCGATCTATACATTCCAGTGGAGAGGGTCTCAACTTAATTACTCATGGCTGGTCTTTGGGCCCAGGGGAGACTGGGTAATGTTTCACAAAAGTAACATAACACTACAGAAGCACACGTACCTCCTCTCAGCTTCTCAAACACAAGGTCAAAATTGTCCTCCTCCTCAAAGAACTCCACCAGCTCCAGAATATTGATTCATTCGGGAACGAAACACCGTCATGTGGCTCAGAGACTCGAAACAGCGCTGTGGCTTTGTTTGGAATTATTTTTGTTGGCGAAATAGTGCAAAAACAGGCAATATGGTGTCTAAAACGTAAGTCTCTTAATAAAACTTATAGTTTATTGAACTGTTGTATAAAAAAAAAAGATAAATATATATATATATATATATAATGTATATGGTAATTTTTGGAGAAAAAAAGGCACTCTTCCGTGTGAACTTGATTACCTCTATGAAGAGGTATAAATATACACATTTTCTGCCCCCATGTCTTGAATTTGTGATCATTTTGAATGTATTTTAATAGACTGAATCATGCCATAAAAGAGCGCGCTGTAAATGCGCACGTGTGCACTCTGTAAATTAGGCGTTTTGAACGGTTTTTGCGTCGTGAGAATATGGAGCAAAATAGCTCACTTGTCATGGTATTATTTAACTACATCATATTTTCTCATTGTTATGACTTAGTTTCTCATTATTATGACTTAGTTTCTCATTATTATGACTTAGTTTCTCATTATTATGACTTAGTTTCTCATTATTATGACTTAGTTTCTCATTATTATGACTTAGTTTCTCATTATTATGACTTAGTTTCTCATTATTATGACTTAGTTTCTCATTATTATGACTTACAGAATTATATTTTTTTATTTAGTGGCGGAAACGGGCTTCCATACAAAATAGCTCACTTGTCATGGTATTATTTAACTACATCATATTATGAATAAACTAAACATTTTCATTTTTACCTCAGTGCGTTTCTTCTGAGTTTATGTGTGCGGTCACGCTCATTTGTTCTGAAGTCTCGAGACAAACAGAGTGAGCCTCAGCGCGAGCTTGTGTTCTGCTAACTTACTGCGATTCTCTCTGATGATGACGCAGTAATTTACCGCGGGAAGAAAACATCTTCGGTCTGTCCAATGATTGTACAGTCATCAGGTCCGTCAGACTGGAGATATTTTTGCGGTAATGAGACCAGAAAAATGTAAGACCCATCGAATCCGAATTTAAGACTTTTTAAGGCCTTATATAAGGAAAACGTCCCGCGGACACCCTGCTGTTATATGCGTGTTGCATATAAATTGATGTGCACATTTTAAAATCGAATAAAACAAATGGGATCTTAATGATGGACCCCCACTTTCACTGTATGGAGAAAAAATACTTTTGTGTTTCACAGAAGAATGAATGTCATATACATTTAGAACAACATGAGGGTGAGTGAAAAAAATTTTTTATTCTTGGGTGAACCATCCCTCCAAAAAACGAACATTAAAAAGATTTTAGGACCCACACCATTCATTTAATCCCCGAGTCCAATGACCAAATACACAAGCAAAAGATACTGTTGACACTGAATCACATCCTCCCCCCATGCAAGGCCTCTGTGTTTTCCGGACTCTGTTCGGCTCTTCCAGCTCCCTGGATTAGAAGTGCTATTGAGAGCGTCCAGGCGAGCACACAATGCATATCTGGGTTAAGAATGAGGCCTGCAGGCCAGCGCATTCCCAAAAACCCCAGCGCTGCTGCCGCACAGCTGAGTCGGCAATCAATCTACTCAAAAGCCGCAAAAATTTTTTTTTACAGGGTATTATAAATGCTTGAGGGAACCTAAGGGATGTGGTGACAGATTTCACCTAGTTGAAATCTAAACAGGTTATTTGCTGCACAGAAAAGCTTTCACAATATGTTGGCAAATACATTATGCTATACGATGCAAGTAAGAGCGCACATAAATCTCCATGTTAGCTTAGAAAGGCGTCCTATAGAGTCTGACCGCTGTCTGTAAATCAAACCACGCTTGTAAACACAACCCAGGCCCAGCTGAGATAGCTACAGGAGTGGTTTTCTTTCAGCCTTACCTTTTGTTCAGACCAGGAACCCCCCCTGAGGGGGGAGGCAGGACATCTGGTGAGTTGTCTGAAACCCATCCCAGCATAAACTGACCTAATGCTTGTAATGATCCATCCCCCTCAGGGATTAAAACTCATCCCTAAATCATTATATTGTCTTAGCTTGGCTGGCTTATACGAGGACCTTATATTGAAATAAAATGCGCTATATTGTTCCTCTTTTATGTGTAAATTAAAACAAGGAAGACCATTTTAAATTCTGATAAAATTAAGAAAACATTTTTTTTTTCCAAAAAAAAGTATTTAAATTATACTGTTGGAACACAAAACAAAACATCCGTCACAACTTCCTCAAATCAATAAGTAAAAGCAAGACATATTTCTGGCACACAATGTACATTTCCTAATATGCTTTTGTTCTAGATTCTGCAATGTGTGTGAAAAAAAAAAAAAAAAAAAAAGTAGGTAAACACTTCAAGGATTTAACTCCACCCTAGCCCCCCCTACTTTTGAGGTTTATGTTTCAACAGACTTGCCAGTACATAATGTTCCCGCCACAGTACAAACTACCAGCCAATGAGAGCGATGAACGGTAAGAGCATGTAACTGTTCCACATTTCTGGTTGGTTGGCCTTCTATCCGGTCTAACAAAAACAATGAAGTCTTCCCGTTAAGCCTGCTCTATAACTTGTAAAACTACAGTAGCACAACAGAGGCACTGTTTGTTCAAGCATCCGTGCCAGTGAACAACAACATCACTTGGTTAAGAGAAAGCGGCTTAGATCAACTACACAGACAGGTGCAAATACTTCAGTTTGCAAAGTAAATACTATTCACAGATTTTAAATATGTTACAAAATGAATTCAGCAATCTAAACATTTTCAAACCCAAGTGTGCAATTCATAAGCATGGCCTGAACGTGACCTCACCATCCACTGCTTGCAGAAATCTAGCATGCCCTCTCCAATCACATGCAACAGTGCCAGTCAGCACAAAACAACTACAGTCACGTCTGCTTGCCAAAGAGGGAAAAATCATTCCCGTAACCCATTTGATTCCATTTCCAAGAGACTGCTTCAAAGGGAAAGTCCTTTCTAACAATAGCTCTTGAATGCCATTTCTGCACGGATGCTTCACATGGAATACCTGTTTACAGAACGTAACTGCTATTTTAAGGTACACTGCATTGTCACAGCTCAGGTTAGTTAAAATTTAAAGGTGACATATCATGAAAATCTGAATTTTCCAGGTTTTAAGTGCTATAATCAGGTCCCCGGTGCATCTACCAACCAAGGAAAGGTGAAAAAGATTAACCCAGTAACTTTGTTTTGGTAAGCCTTTTTCTGCAAGCGTCTGAGAAAACGAGCGTGTCTGATTTTGCTCCCTTGGTGATGTGGCAAAGGGATCTCATTATAATATTACCACCCCTTAATCTGTAAGTTTACACCCATGGCGCTGTCATTTGTTTTCGCAAGCAACAACGGTGTACTAGTTCTAATGCCATGGCGAAAGTTTGAGCAAAACATGCTAACTGTTCTGTCTTGGGCTGCACAGAGGAGCACAGAACACTATTTAGAGTCCCAGCCTCAGAGGAGACAAGAGCAGTGGATTTATGGACTTATTTACTGTATATTGCTGCTGCCACACAGATCTAAAATAAACATGCAATTTATTTCCCTGCTGTTTACCTTCACAGACATAACCGACTATTTTTGTAACTCGTGTGTGTTTTAACGTAAACTTGTGTGTGAATGAGAACTTAGTTTAGTACTCGCATGCTGTGACAGCCGCTTTCTGTCCGTGTGCTTCGGATGCGCACACTCAGAAAACCGTATATCAGAAGTTTAAACTCATATGGTTTAAAACGCATGATTTCAGCACGATAAACATTATAATCAGAACCAAAACAGATGTTTCTTAGCAGGTCCGAGCTGTAATGGTGCAGCTCTATTCTGGAAAAGGGGGCGGGGAGCAGCAGCTCATTTGCATTTAAAGAGACAGGCCCGAAAAACAGTGTGTTTCTGCTTCCACTCAAAATAGGCATATTCAAAATGTTATAATATATGATCTGTGTAGTATTTTGAGCTGAAACTTCAGACACATTCAGGGGACACCAGAGACTTATTACATTTTGTAAAAAGGGGCATAATATGTCTCCTTTAACACACGTAACTCATAAAGCATCTTACCTTCACAGCATATTCTTTGTGGGTGATTTGGTTGATGCAGGTCTGGACTCTGGCATAGGCCCCTTCTCCCAGCACCTCGTCTTGCAGTTTATATACATCTGAAATCAAAACAAAAGTGTTATTATTACACTACTGAACCCATTTGGACCTGTCAAACTGTAAAAGTATACTTGAATAATTCCCCTGGAGAAACTTTAACACCTTGGAAAAATAGAAAACCCCATCAGATATGCACTTACCCTCAAATCGCCCTGAGAAGCTGTCTGTTGCCCGGCATCTCTTTTTCTTCTTGTTTCTCTTTTTGGCATCTGGGATGTCGATGGGCTGGCTGGATGGCATGTCTGCACATCATAACAGAAAGAAAATTCAAATGTAAAAACCTGATACGCTGTCATATAAACATGCACAGAAAGCAGCTTGATTATACTAGGAAAAAATAAGCAGATGGTATTCATCCCTAATCTGTAAAGATAAAATATGTTAACATTGGTGTAAGGTCACGGATCACAGGCAGTGCTTTCTGTCAACAGGTCTTCCTATTGGTTTTTCCATAACAATTAGATAAAAAAAACAACATCAACTTACCAGGTCGGGCGGAACAATCAAAATTGAAGGCAGATTCAAGGAGATGGGATCCTGTTTTGGAAAATTCCTCAGATTCAAAGGGATTTTGGCCCTGGAGATAAAAAAATATATATTATTCAAGACTTCAACGGTTTAACAGTATTATGTGACGTGATCTATTGCCTAATGCCAAAACAATTCATTTGTTCATGCAACAGCAGTGGAGACGAGTGAGACTGCACTCTCACCTTAAAAGAGAGATGGAATCCGGTAACTTCGGTGATCTTGTTCTGCACCATTTTGTTCTGATTTGTGGGACTGGTGGATGGCGTCAACAACGGTGGTCTTAGCTTTAGTGATAAATTTCACTCAGCTAATCAGGAACCGTGGTGCTTTAAATGGGATACCTTAGGGGAAATAATAGCTTAATTGTAAATCTGGCCATGTATTTAATTACAAACTAAGCACTATAGCACTTAATTCTGACAACTAGTTTCTAATAACCAAAGGCATATAAAGGAATAATTTGTTTATTATTACCATTATGAATTATAATTATAAAGCTGTAAAAAAGGATGCAGAATCACAATAAAAGTAGTCCAAACGACTCGTGCGCTATATTACAAATGTACTTTATAGTTTGTGTGAGGACAGACCAATAATAAGTTGTTTGCTCACTGGAGGTGAAGATTATCAGTGAATAACATCTGCAACCGAATCGCTAAATCAGCGAGTTGAACTCGAGAACTGGATCAGTCAGATTTATGAACGAATCATTCAGAGCAACCCAGACTGGTGTTATAAACTGAATCAACAGAATCGATTCAAATAAATCATTCGTCTGCCCTTATATATATATATATATACACATACATACATACACACACAATCTTTTTTTTTTTTTTTACAAAATCACTACAGTGTGGCTCCAGAAAACCTGAAATAAAAAGACGAGTCGTGTTGACTACTTTTATGCTGATTTGAATTGTTTAATTAAAGCCTTGACATTTTCAGTCACCATTCATCGTCAATGAATACAAAGACTTTTTTTTTGCAAAATGTCCCCATTGTGTGTCCGTACAAATTAAAGTGATATGGGTTTGTAACGATAGGAGTTTGAGATAAAATGACAGAATTCTTATTTCTGAGTGAACTGCTCCTTTAAATCAAACAGATAATATACTACAGGCGCAGTAAAAGCACGTCGCGTCACAAGCAGGGGCTTGCATTTACATGCCCCTGAGACTTGTGCCAAGAATAACTCCGGTAGAAAAAGCTCGCTATTTCCGTCCGTTATTCACTCAACGACATGGTAAATGATTTTCTTTGTGAGACTAACGTTAATCACATGCACTCGTGATGTTCAACGAATCGCCACACTGAATGATTCAAAAACATAATACAACGCAGCGACTGCAATGAGTCCCCTAGCACCTTAAATCAGTGTGAAGAAACGAAGACCTCCCAAAAACAAATGACAGCACTATATGAATAAAGTAATTCATAGGACATTTCCAAAGATCTGCCAACAATGACCCAAATCCAACCGTTGCGCCGCATCCTTTAAAATCAAAGCCACGTTCAGTTTACTCGTCTGTCAATCCCGATCTGTCAGCTGAATGTAAAGCTCGTCCTTACCCCCGTTGTTGTCTTTAAAGCTCCAGGCTTGACGCCGTTGTATGAGCCTCTGCTTCGGGAGCAGCAGATGGTGGCCGTGGGCGGTTGGGACTATGTGGAAGGTACAAAAAGGACACACGGCGATCCTCGGTTTTATAATCTCACGCCCCTTCCTACCCACCTCCTTCGGTTAGACCAGCCCCCTCGTCTCTGTAAACATGTACCACACACACTCCGCATCAACTGAGAGAGAGCGCGAGAGTCACGTGGGCTGCTGACCAATGTTGTGCTAATGGGCTTTAGTCTGTTTGTTCTTTATCACTAAAGCCTATGCAAAAGCCTTTTAAACTGGTACTGGTACCGTAATATGAATCCACTCAAAAGAATTATGAAGACTCAAATGTTCATAATCCAAATCGTACGTCGTGTGTATACACTAGTCGAACTAGCATTCATTTTGCCTGATGCAATATTCTGCAACAGACCAATTAACTGTCAAGAACCCCAAATGACTAAGCGAGAGTTTTTAAACAGCTGGTAAGAACTGGATTTCTATTAAGGGAATATAGCTAATGATGACAATACAAAATTAGTGACTAGAGATTATATATATATATATATATATATATATATATATATATAAATGGTGTAG